TTCAATCACATCTTGGTGTAATATATATTTCTGTTTTCAGGTGGTTCGGTTTTTCTTTTTGATCGGAATGTGCAAAGATGCTTTAGACGAGATGGACATAATTGGAGAAAGAAAAAGGGCAGGAAAGCAGTAATGGAAGCTCATCAGAAGCTCAAGGTAAGAGCCAAAGATGCTGGATTTTGTTTTACGGGTTAACAGTTGCAGATACTCCTTTGGAATTGTTTGAAACATGTAAGCAAAGTAGCTATATTCTAAAACTTTATCATTTGGTTATTCTGTAGAATTGTGGTATGGGAGTGCATTTTCAGGGAGATCTCTTTTCTGTGCTTCCAATCTTTTATTTTGAACAAACATAATTCCTTTCAGGTTGGAAGCACTGTTGATTTGAATTGTTACTATGCCCATGGGCAAGAGAATGAAAATTTTCAAAGACGTTGTTATTGGATGCTTAAGGGGTGAGTCTGTCATTTTTTTTTTCTTTCGGTGAATAAGTCTGCCAAATTTTTAATTGAATGGTGTTTGTATATATTTGCATGCCATGTATAAAAAATAAAATCTTATACCACCTTGTCAAAAAGGAGTACTCATCCCAACTCTCCAAACTTAGGAGCACTAGTTCCAGTGCTCCTAAGATTGATATATACCTTTGCCATTGGAAAGTATAATTTTTTCAGTTATGTTTTTTATTTCAAGTCACATTTAGTTATTCATTTTTTTGCCAACAAAAATGTTGAGTAATTAGTACTTTTAATTAATAATTTAGGGGTGAAAAAGTATTTTTGGTATTAAAACAATTTTTTGGGTCCACTTTGTCAGATTAGAAGTCGAGGTGCTTTATTGATAAAAAAAAGTTTGAGGACCTTGTTTCTCCTTTTTATTTTTAAAACTTATTGTAGCATGAGTGAAATTTCAGAAACTTGTATCTGTTCCATTGCTAAAGGACAACAAAAGACATTCCCCAGCTTATTTTCTGGTTGGACTGTGTTAACTCGGTGATGTGATGTCAATTTCTGAAACGTTTTTTCAGAATTTAACATAAATAACCATTACTGCAGGGACTTCTCCCACATTGCTCTTGTCCATTACCGCAAAGTCACGGTTAGACTTTATGATTTATCCTATCACTCTTTCCTCTTCCTTTTTCTTCTTCTTCTTTTTTATTTTTTATTTTTATTTTTTTTCCTGTTAGCCATCTTTGATATAAACTTATGAATTTTATTTTCTAGTCCTAAGGAGATCATTGGCTGATGGAGTTTACAACTTTCTAGATTAAACTGAAATGGAATTTACTTTTAGTCAATTTAAGAGCACAGTTTTGAGTCTAGGTAGACTGATCAATAAAGTTAGCATAGCCAAATGCTGTCATGTTTCTCATGAAACATTGATGTGCTACATAATTTGTTTATTCTTTTTTTTATTTATTTTTTTTTGGGTACATCAGAAGCTATTGAAGCTTAATATCTAAGGAACATAATTTGTTTATTCTTTTACGTAATGAACTGGCACTTTACAAGTTCATGGATTGATTATGTTCATTTTCCCTTTATTTTTCCATTGATTTATTTTTTTTTTCTTTTTGGTAATTGATTTTGATTTTGATTTTGATTTTGGTTTCTGGTATTGTCTGTCACTGTAATTCATGGCTGCAATATATATAAATTCACGTTCTGTTTGTGGTGAAATATGTAGTATATCATGTCACGGTGTCATCCTCTTTCACCCTTTTTATCTGGAAGTATTTATTGGAGTATGCAGATATTGTAGTTAGTGATGTAGTATCAGGAGGTCAATGTTTGGTCTTAAGCTCTAGTATCCTTAACTTAATAAAGCCTCATGCTACTTGGGTGTGTGAGCTAATTATTCCTTGATTCCAACCAGGTATGTCCTTAACTCCCTTTTTCTTAGTCGTGGCTTTAGGTCTTTCAATTCTTCGAACAATGAACATGTCCCATTTCTGTCTCCTTACATATATTTTTTTTTACTCCTTTCTTTCACTGTCAATGCTTGTTGAGTTGTCCTTCAAGAGGACAGTTGTTTTGTTTAGGGTAATAAAGATGTTACAATTTGTTGTGTGCCTGATACCCTGATTTATACTACAGTTTTCCCTTTCTCCTGTATTGGTGGTGCCTTTTTCTTTTTCTTGAAGGAAGTGGTCCTTATTCTTTCAGAACACAGCCTACTGAGGACTTGTTAAAAATTATATCTTAAGCCTTCAATTGTCA